TATGACAAGTTGTATTTTCAATCATCACAAAATAACCCCGTTCCTAAATGGAGTTCTTCAAGGAACCGACACTCAGCTGAATCCAATGAGGAGGGAGCTGGGACATCCCAGGGACAGTGACAGCTCCTCCAGCCGCCTGGCGGCCGGTGGTTGAGGGCAGACATCTGGCAGGAGCTCCCACCGCCCCCCCCCCCCCTCCAGGACCATGGCCAGTCCCCTGCACTGAGCCCTTCACCAGAGAGAAACCTGCCTCGTCTTTAGGTCCTCTGGCCTCAACTTCCTGACCTGAACTCCCACTTGGCAGTCCCCAATCCTCCTGTTCCCCAATTAAAATTCTCAACACAAATCCGCACAGCTCAGCTCCTGTCTACCAGCCAGCCGTTCCAGATGCCAACCCTGGTCAGACAAGCTGGGGAAGGGCCGGGGGGTTCCTGGTCTTCAGAAGGCTGCTCCTGGGTCAAGGTCCCAGGTCAGGCAGTATCAGAAGGGGTTGAGGGGTCGTTAGTGACCTGTTTCCACCAGAGGTTTCAGAAACAGTCCCCCGGGTTACGCAGTGCCCAGTGAACTCAACCACGTTCTCCAGCTGAGCCCTTGATGGGTAGTAGATTCCACCTCCTCCTCTGGTCATGCACGTTTCCCAGCTGGAGACCCCGGTGTGTTTCGCTTCACTCATCTGCACCCCAACCCTTCAACTACTGTGCTAGTACATCCCAAAGGAGTTGTGTTTGGGGTGCTGAGTTCCGTGGAGTTGTGCGACTCGCCTTCACTGCTGAAGCCTGTCTTGATGCCTCCCAGACCCCCGGAGGCTGGCAGACAAGACGCAGGCGGCCCCCTCAGGACTGGGAAACTCATCATGAGCCCAGGCCGTCTCAGCACTCAAGTCTGCTGGAGGACGGATCTCTTCTGCAACATCTCCACCTGGTGGCTGGCCTGCCTCGGCTCCAGCATCTCCAGGGACCAGCAACTCACCAGGTCCTGAAAGGACTTCATCCCGAGTGTGAACGTCACATCTGTTCGGCTCCCACCCGATGACCCCAGTTCACACCTCGGAGCCACGGAACAGGTCAAACTGCAGAGAAGCAGTCAACTGTAGTAAGACCCTGGGCTCCCGAGGCGGGTCATAACTGAGCAAGTTAATGATCACACACATACCAGAGCAGTCTGTAACTGAGCAAGTTAATGAACACTCACACACACACATACACACACACAAGCACACATATACATACACACACGTATGCACACATACACACATATGCACACACACATATACACACACCGGAGCAGTTTATAACTGAGCAAGTTAATGATAACACACACACATACACATAAACACACATACACACACACCAGAGCAGTTTGTAACTGAGCAGGTTAACAATCACACACACACACACACACACACACACACACACACACACACACACACCCGTGGCTAAAAAGGAGAAATAAACGCAACACCACCTCCCTGAAGACCAGAGCAGGACACTTCCAGCGCATGGAAACCGCACAGGCGTGTTGTCACTTTCCTTTCTGCTGCTGCTTGGCAACCCTGCAAGCTTTGAAAGATCTTTCCTCCGAACCATCTCTCATCCAAGGTAAATACCACAGCCTCATATTTTTAATATGTCTACTTATTTTTTGGCTGCACTGGGTCTTCGTTGCTGTATGTGGGCTTTCTCTAGTTATGGCCATCAGGGGCTCCTCCCCAGTTGTGATGCGCAGCTTTCTCAGAGGTAGTTTCTCCTGCGGCTCACAGGCCCCAGGCACGCAGGCTCACAGTCTTGGCATGTGGACTCCACAGCTGTGACACAGACTTAGCTGCCCCTTGGCATGTGGGATCCTCCCGGACCACGGATCAAACCCATGTCTCCTGCATTGGCAGGCGGATTCTTTATCACTGAGCCACCAAGGAAGCCCACATCACCACCTCTAGAACCATGCCTCTTCAGATGTGTTTTCAAGACAGAATTCTTTACCATTCATAATTCACTCTTCTTATCAGAGCAGTTTCTTCTGTTCCTTTTTCTATTCTCAGTTCTTTCTATCACTCACATTAGTCCACGGACAAACTGTGTTCAAAGCTTCCCCCGTGAGCATCAGGAGGGGAGATCCAGAGAGAAGACCCCAGCCAGGGAGGCTGCCTTCACGCAGAGCGTCCACCCACAGCTTCCAACCACCAGGAGCTTACTCAGCCCTGCCCTTCAGTGCAGTGGGCTGGTTTCCCGCCCTTCCCAGCAGGTTCCCAGGAGAGTCCTCTTGAAGCCAGGCTCCCTCTCACTTCCCTTCCTCTCCGGGGCTAAGGAAATGTTGGATGGAGCCCAGATGGGTCCAGGTACGGCTGGCACTGCTCTTCTCAGCTCCGGCTGGTCTCAGATCAGGCCGCTCTGACGGATGCCACAGCAAGGGGCTGGAACACCAAGCGTCTACCCCCTCACTGTCCCGGAGGCTGGGGTGCTAGCTAATGCGGGGTCTGGTGGGGGCTCTCTTCCCAGTGTGACCTTCTGTGGTGGACGGGGCGAGGGAGCACTCTGGGGTCTCTTTCATCAGGGCATGAATCCACCCTCAAGACCTAAAGCCAAGGCGCCCCTTCCTGATACCAACACCCTGGGGAGGTTAGGATTTCAACACAGGAAACCGACATGCAGCCCATAAAATAGCTCCTCTACCTGCCAAGAAGGGCAGTCCAAGGTGAGTTCTTCCCCTCCTTTCCCCAAGTCCTTTCCAAGCCTGAGAACTCCTCTCTCCCCCAACAGAACTCCCCGGTGGCAGGGATCCCAGAGAGGCTCTGCCGCCCAGATCCCAAGAATGGGACGCTCTCGTGGGATGTCGGCCGTGAAGGCCGGCTCCAGGGTCACTGACCCCATGACTTGGTGCGATTCCTAAACACCACTCTGGGAATGGGCGGGGGTTCCTGGGGGCTCGCCATCCCTCTGGAACATTCCAGACACACCTTCCAACCTTGCCAGCAGGCGTTCCCCCTCTAGGCACAGCCTCACCCCTCCTGTCTCCATCAGACTGCTGAGGTTGCAATAACACAGCACCCAGGGAAAGTGGCTCAAGAACAACATGGGTTTATCCCTTAGCAAGGTATCCTGAGGGCTCCCCTGGTGAAGGATCTGCCTGCCAATGCAGGAGACACAGTTTGATCCCTGGGTCAGGAAGACCCCCGGAGGAGGAAATGGCAGTCCACTCCAGTATTCTTGCCTGGGAAATCCTGCGGACAGAGGAGCCTGGCAGGCTAGAGTCAGGCAGGACTTAGCAACTGAGCAACAAACAACACGCTACAGCCCCAGTGGGGGGACAAGACACGCCACACAACCAAGGGATGTGCTTCTGGTCTGTCTGTCCGCCTGCCAAGACTTAAGGAGACTCCTGCCGTATGTTCTGCATACTCTGCCGTACGCTCTGACGAATGTCCACAATATCCCACCCCCTCACCCCAGACACACTCGCATCTTGTTATACCATCACACTGCTTATGTCTTACAGAGAATTCACACACAGTAACATTCACTCACCTGTTTGTCTCTCTTCTAGAACATAAACCCCATAAGATCTGGAGCTTGCACGTCACCCACCAGTGAAATCAGAAAAGTTTATTATGCAGTAGACAGTCAATAAGCATTTGTTGAATGAATGAGTCTCCACTTGCTGCTCATGAAAATGAAGATTATCAAACTGATCGTATTTTTATCAGTTTAGTTAAAAATGCAAACCATCTCATTTTATCAAACCTCTCAAGATGGTTTGGTGTTCAGGTTTCAGATGTATTACTGGGAGTTTAATTCCTTTCTGTGATACACAGGGATTGTGCAAGCCACCAGTCAATATTCATTTTTAAGATATGTGAAGTCTATCTGCTAACATTCAAAGGTTTTCCTTGATGTGTCTTTATCTGAATCAGTTAAGTCTCTTCTCACAAATGAGGAATATTAAATAAATGGCTGCTTTCATAAAATAAAGAGGTGACTAGCAGAAATAATCTGCAGCTTCTGTTAACAAGCTTCTCTTTAGTGTCTGAAATAATCAACACCACTTACAGGCCTCAGACTCCATGCTGAGAGTGCTACAGGTCAGACCCCAGCCCCATGATCAGCACATCACCACCCCAACGACAGTGATCTCAAGGCCCTGCTGCTGCTGAAGCGGGGCTCTGAACCCAGGTCTGCCTTGCACCAAAGCTCAGGATGGTTTATTTCACTATCAAATCAACACCAACTATTCCACCACAGCATGTATCTTCTCTGAATACCACAGTTTATCAAATCTGAGACTCTGCCAACAGTGGCTGACATACAACTGTGCCATGCAATACCACACTGCCAATTAGGTTACAAAACACCACCAACTGGAAGGTATGTCACAATTCAGAAATGTTAAAATGTGCATGTATGTACACAGATTTACACACACATATACATCTAAGATTGACAAAATACAGTAATCCAATAGCCTTGGAACAAGTTATTCCAAAAAAAGTGTTATAAAATATAATACTTCTCTAAACCTTTAGAAAATTAATCTTGTCCTGAAGTACAGAAAGAAAGAAAAAAAAAGTGATAAATCTAAAGTATGAATAAAGTTATAGGAAACAGCAAGCATTTACAATACATTCCCTCTTTAAAAATTATTTCTTGTCATCTGTGGCGTCAAATCCTATCCTTTACAATGCACAGAGCTGCTAACGTCTCTCCCAGCCATCAACGTGAGCACAGCTTACTCGAATCTTCGCACGTCCAAGTGCACAAAGAGTGGTGAGCACAGCTGTCAGCATACACCATGCAAAGGGGCTTTTCATCTACCTGCTGGCCTCAACTTCTGCTTATTATCTCCAGAAGTCAGGGAAAGTAATTGTAATTTCTCATTCCACAGCGGTGAAAAACATAATCTTTGCTGAAGACACAGCCTTAAGTCTCTAGAAGATCAAAGACTCCAACACCTCAGAAAACTCTGGGTAGAGCCTGTATGGGAATGACCGACGGGAGGTGCACGGGTCTTCAGGGCCTCCTGTCTCTTCCCCTGAAAGAGCGCGCGTCGTAGGCCCACACCGTGTCCAGCCCCTCCCCCGTGACCTGCGCCGGGGTCCAGTGCGGGAAGGGGAACCGGCAAGCGATGACCCGCGCGTCGTCCTTGAGTTCAAGCTCGAGCTTCTTCTCCAGCTGCGCCATCTGTGGAGAACGACAGCCGTCATTTCAGGGAGCAGGGGGTCACAGGAAGGGGCTCCCCAGGGTCCTTCTGTAGTGTCCCTGAAAATATCTGTGCCAGATTACTGATTGTAAAACAGACCACTCCTGGGTGACAATCCACCAAAATACAGACGTCACGTGAACCACCATTTTAAGACTATCTTCTATCATCAAATATAAAATGTGCCCTTTTTAGCAAATGTGTATCACAGATTCCCACTTTCCTAATGAAATATGGTAACTAATTCCACTTTAACTAACGAAATATGGTAGAATTAGACGATGGAAAAAATACACTTTCTACCAACTTGAAATATGATCAAACATTTTACAATTCTTTTAAAAAGATATCCATAATATACCAATAATTAATGTCTTTATAGTCAACATAACTTACGAAAAGTAAAACTCTCTTATGTATCACTTTAACATTATTTTATGAGTAATCTGTGAAGAAAGAGTTTCACTGTTTACTCAAAGTACTGGCACTGTGATTACATTAGCAAATTAACAGCCGCTTAAAATTTTATCTTCAGGTCCTAAAAATATATTACCACCTTCACCTCTTAAATATATTTTTCTTTATTCTTTTACTATTTTCAAATAATTTCAAATTTACAGAAAGGATTCAAGAATAGAGCAAAAAAACTGCTGTGCCCCTTACCCAGGCTCACCAGTCTTCGGCACTTTGTCACAGCTGCTTTATCTGACTTGCTCTCTGCCCCTCTCTCTCAGAACCCTTTCCTAAACCATCTGAGAGCAGGCTGCCCACAACATGGCCCTTTACTCCCTGGTACCTCAGTGTTTGCTGAGAAAGAGCCTCAGCACAGTTATCAGATTCAGGAAACTTAACATCGTATCCCAACATCAATCATCCCCACAGCACCCGATCAAACACCCCAGGAGTGTCCTTCACAGGTAATGATTCCTTGAATCTGGGACAATTTCTTGCCTTTCTTTGTCTCTCATAACAATAACCTCCTTTAAGAACACAGGCCAGTCGACTTGAAGCAGTTGATCAAACATATAGTTCTGTATATGATCAATGATTGTAATGGTGTAACTCTAAACATGGGAAGATACAAGAGGGAATTTTTACCCGGACCATAACAGATTGAGTGAGACAGCTGGCTCAGAGCCCTCTGGTTACTGCCGACAGACCTAGTCCAGTAGGGGCACACTCAGTGACCCGTCTGCAAAGCCTTCGCTGGCCCTTGGAATGAGCCTTCCCAGCATCGTTAGGTTAATTGGTCACGAAATGCCTCCCAAAGGATGGTCGAATTTAGGACCACGAGTAGGCCCTGTCAACTACAAATTGGCATTTGCCATCTACCTCTGTAAGGGTTAAATCACATGCTGCTGCAGTTGCTGACCGCCAACATCCCCTGAAGGGAGTTCTGGGCGGACACTCTGTGCTCGGGGGAAAAACTGGCAGGGCACGCCTTCAAAAAGACAGATATCTTCAGGAGCTGATTTCATGAGCCCAATTCTTGCATCTCCTCATATCTAAAAAGGCACTAAAATCCTTCATGGTGATGAATGTGTCTCATGACCAGCAGAAAGCTTCTGCAAAAAAATGTATGTGCTTGCCTGTAAGTATTCCTCCTTCACCAAAATCACATAAATGCTAACCTAACCCCCTGCCTCTTTGGAGCAGTTTCTCAGAGCTATCTGAGGGGCTGTCTCCCAGGCTACAGTCCTCAGTTTGCCTCCAAATAAAATTTTAACTCAAAAAAAAAAGAAAAAAAGGACACAGCCTGGTCCCTCTGGTGTCTTGTGATAAGCGGTGTGTGCGTCCAAGGCAACGACCCAGCAGAGGGATTGTGAACTTCGCACACTCCACAGTCCTGAGCCCATGGAGTCCTTCTGCTTTAAGGGTGATGCACCCTTCAGCTAAGGAGGTATCTCGGTGTCTCCAGAGCGTGGTTACTATTCCTCCTTTAAAATGAACAAGATACTGTGGGCAGACACCTTGAGAAGATGCAAATGTCCTGTTATGTGTCTAACTGTCCCCCACTGAGTACTGCATTCTTGACTGTGCCTAAGTCAATTTCACTATACAGGTTGAAAGCGGCAACTTTCCAAGCCCATCCTTGCTTTCAGATCAACAGTCAGAATCTCAAGGAAGAGCTCTTTCCATCACTGTAAGCATGAACTCCTCGGTACATCAATGGGTTATGATCCACTGTCATCCTCGTTTCTTCTAACACTCAAGTTGCCCGGTTTGGTGTACATCAATGGGTTATGATCCACTGTCATCCTCGTTTCTTCTAACACTCAAGTTGCCTGGTTTGGTCATCGGGAGCCCCTCAAGCTGGCTTCTCTCCCGTGCATGTGCCCTGACCAAACCTTCTGAGCGCTTCCTCACCACATTCAGACTCAACTAAATGTTCCAGGCTTTCACACCTTCCCTTCCCTGGGATCAGCCACTTTTCAAACGTTCCTGGTTCCTCCGAGTGAGAAGCGATGTTTAGAAACCAAGACCTGTGCAAAAGCTACTCTTTAAAAGTAACCAAGCAGGACTTCCCCTGGTGGCTCAGGTCCAGCAAGGCTTTGGCCCCTTCCCGGGTGATCTCAGCCCCCCTTGGCTTCAGCTCCTGGGCACTGATGCCCCAGTGAGCCCCCTGCCTTGAGCCCAGAGCTCCAGGCATGTGCCGCTGCCCACCTGACATGCCTACATGTGTCAACCCACACGTGTCCCAGACTCTATGTGCCAGATAGGACTCTGCCTGCCCATGCAGGGGACACGGGTTTTGATCCCTGGTCCAGGAAGATTCCACATGCCACAGAGCAACTAAACCCATGCTCCACAACTACTGAGCCCGTGAGCTTTAACGACTGAAGCCTGCGCGCCGAGAGCCTGTGCTCACACAAAGGGAAGTCACTGCCGCAAGGCGCTGCGCGCTGAACTGGAGGGGAGCCCCTGCTTGCCACGGCCAGAGGAAGCCCGAGCACAGCAGCCAAGACCCGGCACAGACAGAGATTCATCAATTAATCTACTAAATTAAGATGGACAAGTTTTCTGCAGGAGTTTGATTCCTCACCTGTGTCTTTAAAAAGCAGTTTTGAAAAAAAACTCCTCTACATGACCTGTGGCTGGAGTGAGCCAAAATTCTGATTCTTTATTAGAATCAATACCAAGATAACAATGAATAAATTCCACTAAGGATGGAATCTTTTTATTCTTTTAACAGCTAGCAAAAGATTGTTCCATAAAAAAAAAAAAAGCAAAAATTTTGTTCCTTGAGGGAAAAATTAAATAAGCAAAGAATAAGACAATATGTGTTTTTCCAAAATGTCAAGGGTTTCATATGGTAATTTTGTTCATAAAAAGGACAACTGTAAATTTATTGATTACTATTCTTCTTTTCTCTTTTACAGATCTTTTATTTCCAAGTGACTGTCATATGCTAAGTCAATATAAACCTATGAATGAAAGGCTCTATTTCAATCATAAGAAATTAACGGACTAAATTATACATAAATATGCAACAAACTTGGGTCTTGATATCTTACACAAAGAGAAGCCACGATGTGTCATGTCTGCCTAATGAAACTCAAAATTATTCATACAATTATACGTTTCAAAGTGACATGAAACTCATCCTATTCTAATTACCTCTTCAAAACTTTAAATATAAGTTGAAACCAGGGTGCCCCCCACTGGATCTGCCAGCTCATCCTGTTGTTTCTGTCCTCACGGAGCATCCAGAGTCTGACCACCTGTCACCAGCTTCTCCACCCTGGCACTGGCTTCCCCCACTGATGGTCTGGATGCCCACAAGAGCTCAGACCCGTCTCCCAGCATCTCCCCCACCCTCTGCTCCCCATGCAGGCCCTGTCCTTCCCACCTGGTCCCCCATATCTCTCCCCCACCACCTCTGCTCACCCCCTCCCACCACCCCCACCTCCTCACTGCTTCTGGACCCACAGGAACACACCCCTCAGCACCTTTCCTTTCGCAGTGGCTGTTCCTCAACCTGAAGCACTCTTCTGGACATGGCCGCATGGCTCCCCCTCACCTCCAATGTCCCTCTTCAAGGACGGTCTCCCTCCCGCTTTGGTGAGCCCACAGCACTGACCCACCCCCCTTACTGTACCACAGAGTCTACACTGCCATCTCACTGAATACCTGCTTTCCCAACTAGCATGTAAATACCTTGGGGCAGGGATGTTTTCTTTTTTCTCTTTACTCACTGAAGTACTCGAACAGGGACTGATGCTTAGCGGGCCCTGAATAAACACTTGTTTAAGGAATGACTGAATGTAGGATTCATGGCCATGAGTCCTATTTCTTTAGCAGAACACTGAGACAGTATTTTCACTCATGGATTCATAACAGAATTCGTAACTAAAATTAAATGAGTCATCCTTTGAAGTTATGAAACTTAACTGCCCATGGAAACAGTGTACTTAAGGCCCATGTTTATATGATATTCATCCATTCCTTTAACAAACATCCCCTAGGTGATCACTCTGTGCCAGGAGCTGGGAGTCTGGCAGAGAGCTCAACAGGTCCGCCCTGTCCTTGAGCTCACAGCACAGTGCACACGGCCAACGCCACCAAAGCCATCACACAAGCAGAAGTGCAGCCACATGTCCACAGAGAAGGGAACAAGCTCTGGAAATCGTGGTCTCAGGGGTCATCAAGGGCAATCAAGGATGGCTTCTCGGAGAAAACATCTAACCTCTGAGTGGTGAGCAGAGGTTCACTAACCAGGCCCAGAGCTAGGGGGACTGGAGTCTCGGGGAGGACACGGCCCCATACAGTGGGGTCCAGGAGCCAAGCGGAGGGCAGAGCCAGTGCACAGAGAGCTGGGGGCAGCCGGGCACCCAGGCCAGATGGAAGGTCGGGCCTTATCGTCGCTGCGTTAAAGCAGGACGAAGTCATGGGAGAGTTTTCAAGAAGAACAGGACCCATCTGTCCGGCACTCCTGGCGCATGAGTTCATGGTAAGCATGGATATCTCCCATCCAGGCACTGGCCTGCCAGGTCCAATGGCACTCTCACTCCTGCTTCGCTGGACACACACGCGTGATACAGGCTCGGACCGCTGTAAGCCAAGCGCCGCTACGCAGAGGTATGAAGAACCGCCAGTATGGCACCGAAAGCAGAGCTGCGGGGGACCGCCAGTCCCACACCGGAAGCAGAGCTGTGAGGAAGGGCCAGTCCCGCACAGGAAGCGCAGAGCTGAGGCACTGCCAGTCCTGCCCTGGAAGCAGAGCTGTGAGGGACCGCCAGTCCCGCACTGGAAGCAGAGCTGCGAGGGACCGCCAGTCCCACACCGGAAGCAGAGCTGTGAGGAAGAGCCAGTCCCGCACCGGAAGGGCAGAGCTGAGGCACTGCCAGTCCTACACCAGAAGCAGAGCTGTGAGGGACCGCCAGTCCCGCACCGGAAGCAGAGCTGCAAGGGACCGCCAGTCCCACACCGGAAGCAGAGCTGTGAGGAAGGGCCAGTCCCGCACCGGAAGCGCAGAGCTGAAGCACTACCAGTCCCGCACCGGAAGCAGAGCTGTGAGGGACCGCCAGTCTCGCACCAGAAGCAGAAGGAGACCACGTAACACCGGGATCTCGCCCTCTGATGCTCCCAACACCTGCTCCGGCTTCTTAACGGCCCACGTGCGCCCGACCAGCCACGGGAAACCCTTCCTGCCATGCTGGCTCTGTCCGTCCACCAAGCCCCTGCCAGGACACTGGCCAGTGAGCAGAGAAGGGAAATGCGTTCTAACAGAAGACAGCATAACGGGCCCAGACAGCCTAAAGAACTTTCCAGGGCCCACAGGACGCCCAAGAGCCAACCTGGCCCCCTGACTCCGCCGGCAGTCCCCTCCCTCCTCTCACTGTTCCCACGCAGGCGAGGCCTGGGGAGGGCGGAAAGCAGGGACGTGCACCCGGAAAACCGAGCCTCCCAGACCGGCCTCCGTGCCCTGATCCGTCCTCCTGCGTGGAGGACTCAAGTTGGCTGAATCCCTCTCGTGCCAGGAGACGTGGGCACTTTGTACATTTCAGCTGCTCCCTTCTTCCTGGGAACCGTGAAATGCTGCGCCTTATTTAAGGCTTCTCTGTGTACAGAAGAATGGCCCATAATCACAAAAGTATTTATCAAAATAACATTCTTCCCTTGGGTGAACAGTTCCCAAAACTGACTACACTTCAAACGTGGTGAGAAGCCAGAGGAGCTGGAGCCGGGAGGCCAATGCTGCCCCGGCTTGGACAGCACCTCGGGGCCTCTCAAGACAGCGCGGAACATATGTTAGCTTTCTATTTGTATAAAGCATGGATTTTAAATTAAGATTCTTTGCTTCAAAATGCCAATTATCCCAAAAGAATGCTCAAACTTCACAATAAGTAGGGAAAAAACCATTAAATTCCATAGCAATTCTGATACCAAATACGTTTTTTGGTGTTTTTTTTTTTTAAATGATCAGAGATCATACCTTTCTACCTCTTTTCATTTCTGTAATAAAAGTATAGACACCCAGGTTTCATCTTCATGTTAGGCTTGCTGAGAATTATGAACATACAGAATCCTATCACTTTCAAGAATATCTAACAAAAGCACTTCTAAATACTTTTTTAAAAAAAAGAGAGGGAAAAAAACATTTCACTGAAAATTCTAATAGTAAGAAAAAATTTTCTCCAGCACTGAGATAGCTTAAGGAAAAATTAAGATATGAATAAGAAAGCATAACAACAAAAAAAGCCCATTTCTTTTTTTTTCTTAATAAAAACCATATCACTTATTAAGTGGCACTTCAGCAAAAAACCAGTATTTGCCAGGATTACTATGCCTACAATTATAGAGCTTGAAAAGTGAAGGATTTCTTTCTACAGTCTGTAAACCAACAATCACAATGAAAGCCTCCCATTCCCGTCATCTTTCCAAAGGCTAAATTGAGGACCATTTGCAGTCCAATGCTGCAGCATTTCACTTTCAAAAGTACAGAGTCAGAATTCAACACAAATCAGCCAAATGAGGTCAACAGAAACTAGTCAACGCATGTGCGTGCGTGCTAAGTCACTTCAGTTGTGTCCAACTCTCTGTGACTCCATAGACTATAAACTGCCACACCCCTCTGTCCATGGAATTCCCCGAGCAAGAATAATGGAGTGGGTAGTCATTCTCTTCTCTAGGGGATCTTCCCAACCCAGGGATTGAACCCATGTCTCCTGCATTGCACACATATTCCTTACCACTGAGCCATCAAGGACGCCCGCTTCCATTAACTTTCCCAAGTGTTTTCAGCCGGATATAGCAAGTAAGCAACCGTGAAAACCTACTCACATTAGACACCAGGAGCTCATAAAGCAGTTTCAGACTCGAATTGTTAGGGCTTAGGTAGATCACTGACACCTTCATCTAAAGCAGAAGTTTTAAACTATAAGACTGAATCTTTTATGATTAAACTATTAAGACCCTAAAGTACTTTGTTAAACCAATGATCTGTCATTCTGCACACGGGAGAGCAGGCCAGAGAGAGACGGTCTGTTCAGGCCAGGAGCCCCCTCCTAGCCTAGAAAAGACACTCTGGTGGCAGGAAGGGCGTACTCACCATCTGGGGCACACCAAAGATAACAACATTTGAGTACTGCGAAAAAGTGACCTGAAGGGAAGGGAGAAAACAATTCACAGATTAATTCTGCAAAGTCAAACATCAGTTTAAGCTCTATTTCAAAATGAGTAGCAATTTCCCATTTCAAAAAATAGTCGGTTTTCCAGAAAGAGACTCAAAGACTTAGAAAACGAATTTCTGGTTGCCACCGGGGAGGGACAGTTAGGAAGTCTGGGATGGACGTGTACCTAGTGCTATATTTAAAATGGATATCCAACAAGGACCTACCGTACTGCACAAGAACTCTGCTCAAAGTTATGTGGCAGCCTGGATGGGAGGGGAGTGTGGAGGGAAATGGATACATGTATATGTATGACTGAGGCCCTTTACTGTCCACCTGAAACTATCACAACATTGTTAATCAGCTATTGTTGTTGCTCAGTCGCTAAGCTGTCTGACTCTTTGTGACCCCATGGACTGCACCATGCCAGGCTTCCTGGTCCTTCACTACCTTCCGGAGTTTGCTCAAACTCATGTCCATTGAGTTGGTGATGCCAACCAACCATCTCATCCTGTGTTGCCCCCTTCTCTTCCGGCCTTCAATCTTTTCCAGCATGTGTACCCCAATACAAAATAGAAAGTTCAAAAAAACAGTGGGTTTTCACAAAGAGTGGCCCTTTTTAAGATTACCCGTGTTAATACTTCACCATGTTAGCTCATCTGTTACAGTTTTCCAGAAGTTTCCGCAGAAGCTATCCCAGTTCATCCTCACAGCCACCCCTCACAGGGCCACCCAGATCGATGGTCAGAAAGGCAGGGACTCACCAGTGACCACTGGTGGTCACCCTGGTAGACTGGGCCATCTGCACCCCAGCCCACTTTCTACTCTGCCCTACAGGAAACAAGCTTATCGAGAACTCAAGGTTTTTCAGAACCACGTTTCTCCTGCAGAGTCATCCTTAGAATTTTGGTCCCCCTCCTCTTCTCTAAAACACTAAGTAAAAATGGCCATAAAATAGTCTTTAGTTGGAAAACTGGGGGGAAAAGTGCTTTGCCAGTCAAAATGCTTATTACCCAATAAAAGTTTTATTTACTCTATAGAGAGATCATTTACGTATATATGGAATAAAAAACAATGCAAACAAAACTCAAGTGAATTTTTATAAGCTACTGATGACACTATTACAAAGGAAAATTCTTATTTAAGAAAAAGCATTTTATGGAGCATTCCTAAAGCAAAATTACCAGGCACTTTTTAGAGAACAAGTAAACTTGGAAGCATCTTATACTTTATGAAGACACAAAGGAGCATCACAGCAAGGTTGGTGGGTCTTTTCGTTTCTCCTGCACTATTTCTGTTTCTCCCTAGATATATATACACATACACACATGTACCCACACACATTGACACACACTCACATATACACACACACATAAACACACATACACAAACTCAGACACACAGTCTCAAACACACTCAGACACACATATTCATATGTGCATATAAATACACACACACAAAACTATTTACCAAGAATGACACTGACAAGTTAATGCCTATATGACAACGTAGAAGACTTACAAATGAGATTTAAAAAATCTTATCACTGCATAATAAAGAGAAACAAGAACATTTTAAATTGAGTAAATAAAGCCTTAGAAGTCACATGACCTGTTAAGTTATAAACCTTAAGTTTCTACTCTAAAGGTAGGGCTGATTTGTAAAATCTATCAATTTAAAAGCTGTTCACATTTCATAACGCTGAAATATACACTTTAACTCTATTTTAATTCAGTTTTCAATCATACTAATCAAAAACCATAAAGTTAGCATGTCCTCTGCCGTACATACCTTCCACAAGTCTGAGATGTAAAATCTGGCCGACGCCTGCACCCCTTCCCGCCAAGCGCGGTACCTGGAGTACCAGACAAGCCAGGGGTTCAATTCATAACCCACAGCTGTGAACCCTTCCTTTGCAGCTGCGATCACCTGCGGGGAGAGGCCGTGTTCAAGATCAGAAAAAGACATGAAAACTCCCTACTTATGTTGTTACTGTTGTTGAGTCCCTACATCATATCCAACTTTTTGCAACCCCATGGACTATAGCCTGCTAGGCTTCTCTGTCCATGGGATCTTCCAGGCAAGAATACTGGAGTGGGTAACCATTTCCTCCTCCAAGGGACCTTCCCAACCCAGGGACTGAACCCACAAGCAGCAGAATTAATTCAATACCAACTAAAGGGTTTTAGAGAAAATTATCCAATACTAATGGAAGACTGAAATTTTTCTCCCCAAAACACTGATTTTTTTTTCCTAGGAGTCATCCTTGGAAAAAAATATAAAACAGTCAAACTACATGACTTAACATGTTTCTGTTGGCCTAAGTTTTTTAATGAACAATTTCATAATCATCAATTGTTCCTTTTTACCAGACATCCAGAGCACTTTCCCCTTTAAGAACAATTAAATCTGAGAAAAATAAATTCCAAAGTCCTGCTGAAGGACTGAAGTAGTTCAGCCAAACAAACACAAAATTAAATGACTATTAGGCCATCAATTTAACAAGGCTTTGCATAAGCCTCATAAGAAAAGTGAAACGGAAATTTTAAAGCATAAAACCTAAAAAAACATAAATCTTAAAACATCTTCAAGTAACTCACAACACGTCCGTCACCACTACCAATGTCCACCAGGGGTCCTCTCCTGCATTGCAACATTTTCACAACATTTTCTATCTGTTTCGTAGTTGCAGGTACAAAAGGCAAACAAATTCTTCGGAGGGCTGGTGTTATAAATGGTGTGGCCACGGCATACACGGCCACCAGCGTGCCCCCAACAATGCCAGTAAATAAGACCCCCCAACTGCTTTTCTTCAATCTGTTGGCTTCAAGACTTGTAGGTGGAACAAATTCTGACAGCCTTTCTTTTTCAAGTGTTGCTGGGTGTGTCCCTGGGTTGAGAGCAGAAAAAGATATATGAAACATCAAATCAGAAATCCAAGGTAGTGTTTTTTCCCCCACAGTTCTTATTAACAAATAAACTCATGATTTTAAAGGCTAATTTTGCTCAATACAATTGGAATTACAAATGTAGAATTCCACAATAAGTTCTACAGTCCATCAACTAGAATGTTTAACAGAAAATCTTTTGAAATCTGAAAATCTTTTCTTTCCAACATACTGATTTTCCCTCCAGGAGTCATCCCCGGAAAATAATGTGTTCAAATCTATTTATGAATCAGTACCGTTATGACTCAGTACCCATGGCATCACCGACTCAATCAATGGACATGAGCTTGAACAAACTCCGGGAGATAGTGAAGGACAGGGAAGTCTGCCATTCTGCAGTTCATGGGATCACAAAGACTCAGACAGGACTTAGCAGCTAAATTTAGCAACTAACCAACAATCCATTAATAAAAATATTAATCATGTACTCCTTATTTTTGCGGTTCAGAACAAAACTCCATAATAAGCATAAAAATGTCTAATCATTATCCTATTTCAAATAGGAGGAAAGCATTCTACATCAAAATTGGTCAGGCATCAAAAATCCGTGGTACAAATTCAATTCTGAAGTTAACAGAGGAGACAAAATCCTGGTTTTACTAAAAATCTTAAACAGTCATGGTAATAAGAATTTTAAAGCAGATCCATAAAGGACCAAAAAATACTCATTTCAGTGCTATCACAGTACAGAATAAAACAAACTCTAATCACTGATTACTGAGGGAATAAATAGTACCTTAAACATCCTCCTCTTGAGTTTTATGCTTTAGAATGTATTCATAATAGGATCTCACATTTTTTATGTTGAAATTTATTTGAAGTTAACTCTGAAATGGATTAATGACGGGCACAGCACAGAGGGTAAGGGCACAGCAGCAGAGCCTGCAGAGGTCGGACCCTGGCTCCACTCCTTACTAACAGCTGTGACCCTTCACCTCTCGGAACCTCAGTCTCCTCATCTGTAAAGTGGGGATCACGGGATCATTGTGAGGATGAGACAAGGGGATACAGGCAGAGCATGCACAAAAGTGCGCAGCACTGGAACCCCACCAGAACAAGACCACCCTGCCCTGAACCAGCTCTCGCTCTAGCTGAGGCGCTAAAACCAAAACCACGGGAATCTGTAGACAAATGGAGTAAGAGGAAGGGGCACAAGAGTCTTACCATTTGAAGACATGAGTGTTCACAGTTTGGGCAACAGTAAGCTGTTCTAAAGGTCACTGTGTTTAGTCTCCTACTGATGCGGTAAGAAATTACCATACACTAGGCAGGTTAAAAACAATACACACTTACTAAAGTACAGTTCTGGAGGCCAGATTCTGAAACAGGGTGGGAGTGCTTCTGGAAGCCCTGGGGTAAGAGGGCTGCCCGCACTCCTTGGCCAGTGGCCCCACACCAGTCCAGCCACCGGCTCCACAAGACACCTTCTCTGACACCCCTGCTCTCCCTTCCTGCTTAGGAAAGGAATCCTCTCCTTGGGAGCACACTGGCCCACCCAGATGGGCCAGGACAAGCCTCCCGTCTTGATGTCCTTCACTCAACCACATCCGCCGAGCAGCTCAGGCAGTGTCCTCACAGGTGCTGGGAATCAGGGCATGGACTTACTTCTGCTTACCGTCCCTGTGTGTGCCTGCTCACTCAGTCGTGTCTGACTCTTTGTGACCCCACGGACTGTAGTCCCCCAGGCTTCTCGATCCATGGAATCTTCCAGGCAAGAATACTGGAGTAGGTGCCATTTCCTCCTCGAGGGGACCTTCCCCACCCAGAGATTGAACCCGCATCTCCTGCACTGGCAGGCGGGCTCTTTACCCAAGCCACCAGGGAAGCCCATGAGATGCAGTAACTTGTCGCCACGGAGGTGAGGCCCAAACGTGGACACAGGACACGCCGGAAGCCCGTGGCTGACCACCTCAGCATCTGCTGCTCAGTGTGACTTTGCTATTGAAGGCTGAGGTCTCCTAGAGTGAGTTTCACACCTGGTATCATGGCAGACGACCAACTCAGAAACAGTAACAGAAGTCTACTCATGGTGCCGGTGATGGAGGTAAAATAAAAGTAAAGTTTGGAAAAGTGACAGTGTTTGATAGAAAGCAAGAGTTTTAAGTACATCCTCATTCATACTTTTCAGCACTGCATGGAGGAACTTAACATGCTAATGGAAGTGCATTTGATTTTTTTCTTTTTTAAAGGCAGGCACATCTGCCTTGCCTCATATGAAGAAGTCCTGCAGGTGTTACAACTGTAGAGGACAGTGATCAGAAAGATCTCAGTCACACAGCTCTGGAGTCTCAGAACTCAGAGCTGTGTAGCACAAGACAAGTTGTTGGGGCTTCCCTCATAGCTCAGTTGGTAAAGAATATGGCTGCAATGCAGGAGACCACAGTTCGATTCCTGGGTCAGGAAGATCCCCTGTAGAAGGAAATGGCAACCCACTCCAGTATTCTTGCCTGGAGAATCCCATGGACAGAGGAGCCTGGCAGGCTACAGTCCATGGGGTTGCAAGAGTCGGACATGACTTAGCAAGAGAGTTAAAAGGAGAGAAAGAGAGATAAGTTGTTGCTAAGGCCAAGTTTCCTCGCCTGCAAGATTTTAAAATAATACTATCCTGAGTTACTGGGATAGTTAAATAAGCAATGCCTATAAAGCCCTTAGCACAGCCAGAGAAAGTGATGACTTTTAGCCACTATTATTTTAATGGAGGAGGGGATGGCATAGGATGAGATGGTTGGATGGCATCACGGACTCAATGGACAAGAGTTTGAGCAAACTCCAGGCAATAGTGAAGGACAAGGAAGCCTGGCATGCTGCAGTTCATGGGATCACAAAGAGTCGGACACAACTTAGTGACTGAGCAATACTATCAACAGGAGGTGTGGAGGGGGTCAATAATTTGTAAAAGCTTTACTGAGACATAATTCATTATCATACAATTTGCCCATTTAATTCAAAGGCTTTCAGTAGATTCAGATACATGTAACCATCACCAGTTAAATTTAGAACGTTTTCATTACTTCCAAAAGGAACCCTTATGCTTTAGCCATTACCCTCATCCTCCCCACCCCCTCTAGTCCTAAGCAAACACAAATCTACTGTCTCTAAAGAAAGGAGACTTTCCTGCTGCATAACACAGGGAGCTCAACGAGGTACTGGAAACAACCTAGAAGGGTGGGATGGGATGGGGTGGGGGGTGGACGGTGAAGTTCAAGAGGAAGGGAACATATGTATGATTCATGTTGTCGTATGGCAGATGCCAACACAATACTATAAAGCAATTATTCTCCAATTAAAAATAAATTAAAAAAAGACTTTTATGAATGAAATCACAGTTCGTGGTTTTTGTGACTGCCTCTTCACCTAGCAAGTGTTCCCATGATTCATCCACGGTGTACCACATATCAGCGTTTTATTCCTTCTTACTGCCAAATAATATTCCACTGTATGGACAGCCCACATTTTGTTTTCCAACTATTTGCTGATGGATCGTTTCTCTAGCTGGGCTTCCCTGGTAGCTCAGATGGTAAAGGATCAGTTTCTCCCGTTAACATAAGCCAATAGGCAGCTGATTAGATAAACTCAAGTCAGACGACCCAAACAACTGTTTCACCTGTGTAGACACGTGTTCTTCAACTTAACCAGCAAAAAGATGTAATAAAGTGCTCCTGGTCTCCAGAGCACCCCTTTAGCCTGTGTAAATGGTGGGTTACACTGAGACAGTTACAAGGCAAGGGGTAAGAGACGCTCTAACGTGTACCAAACGCGGTGGGAACATGAGAGGAGGTGGAAGAAAGGCTGATCCCAATGATGCAACCAGGAAGGTGTGGGTAGAAACAGAATTTCAGCTGGACCTAAGGGTACAGGGTCTCCCGCCCTGTCCAAAAGCAGTGTCTCTGTGAAACCTTTCATTAAGCCAAATGGCATTAAAGCAAAGAAGCAATTACCTTAGGGCACATCTTGCTAAGGAATGCACAGAACACATCTAGCTAGAGTACAGGTACTAACAGAAAGGGCTCAGCGATGCGGTAGCTGGACGCCGAGTGTGGTTCCCAGGAAAGAGCCCCAAGGGGTGCTCTTACCCCTGGGGTGAATGCTGCCCCTGGGACAGCTCGCTGCCAAACTCAGAAAGCAACTTCCCTTGTCCCCTTTTATCATGAAACTGAAAATTTTCCTTGGACTTCAGTTTGGGGAAAACAGGTACTAATGTCGGTTTTTCATAAAAGCAAAGTTGTGTAAAGTTTAAAAAGGAGGGGCTGCTTGTATTGAAAAGGGGACATTCTCAAAAGAATGCCTTGGGAATCAAGGTAAGGCAAGCGGAAGAGCATTTGATGAGTACAGGGTGGGAGTCCTTGACCACCGGACTAACCATGTACTTTATTCATCGCACTGGGATGAAACTTTTTGAGCAAAGGCAATACACCATCTGTTTTTAACAAAGGCAACACCAACAGCAGTGTCCCTCAATCGTATCATGCACTTTTCTGTCTCAAGTTTCTACACCTCCAGAAGTCTTTCAACATCACAAAAATTTGTATGAGCTTTTGAAGAAGTTACTATGTAAATCCAAAATATTGCTATGTCAGTTCAATAAAAAACATACTGATTTTTACCAGTGAAAACCAGTCACTAAAGATTAAAAACTAAAATCAAGACTGCTTCTACATAGTGGAACTACATGTAACCTTGTTCTGTATTTTCCAAGTCTCCTGTAGACATGTTATCGTTTTAAAACTAAAAAGAAAAAGCCAAAACTAACCACGCCATATTTCAAGGCCACTCTCGCCTGCTAAGACAGTCAACATTCTACTCTGTGGAGTGTTTCTCTCTAAATAAATCCACTTCTTACCTATTAAAAAAAAAAAAAGACGGCCTCTACAAATCTCTAAATCTTTTTGATGCAGTGTTAAGATTCACTCTATTCACTGTCATATAAATAAATCAAGCAAGATTTCTGTCACATGTGCTCTTTTGAACATTCCTTTAGATGGGAGCTGTGGAGGACAACTGGCTACTTCTGTTGAGAGGTTGGAGGGAGCCAGTCCTTGAGAGTAAAGACCCAAAAAAGTGAACTTCCTTTGTCTCCAGGCTTGCTTAAATACTGACTTCTGATAATAGTTGAAGACTTCAATTTCCAGGGACAGGTTTGGGTCACCTAGAGCTAAAGGCAGTGACAGAGACACAAAAGTACAGGGTTCTTATTCAAGTCCAAGTCAAAGGAAAATGGCCAGGAAGAAAGGAGAGGCCTTTCTAGGATTATGACCTGCCATTTGTGGGGTTTGTATTTGCACATCACAGTATTTTAGGGCTATCCACTGTGTACATTCATTTACATACAGGCTTAAAAACTACAGCATATATTTTATGTCCCTCTAACGTGCATTATTTTGTCCACTGAAGAAGCCTCTCCTGTCCTGCTCTAATATCTCTTGAATCTTTTTGAAATACAGAATGTACTGATATTGGGGGGGGGGGGGGTGGGAGGGAACCTTTTCCCCACGTTTTGACAGAAAATAAACTACATAGCAGACCTCAGTAGACATTCCCTGCATTACACGACAATCTAAGGAGCCAAATGGAACACAGGATTCAGCACTGTGAACGAGGACAATGAACTGGCCAAGCTAAAGTGAACTGAGACCTGACTCCAAAAGTCAAAACGTCCCTGGAGCATCACTGAAGTGGGTCAAGAAGTTAAATGATCACGACTGGCCCCGGTTTCAAAACCCGTTCCTAACTGTCACGCCACGGTTACATGTTACAGCCGCACGCATTCATTTCAACATTTAAGCAAAACAATAAAAGGCTAGGAATAATACAACAGGGTAAGCCCCTGTTCTGTGGCAGCCGGAATGATGGGAGGCTGGAGAGTGAAAGTAGCTCAGTCGTGTCCGACTCTGCAACCCCATGGTCTATACAGCACACGGAATTCTCCAAGCCAGAATACTGGAGTGGGTAGCCTTTGCCTTCTCCAGGATATCCTCCCAACCCAGGGATCGAACCCAGGCCTCCCGCATTGCAGGCTAATTCTTTACCAGCTGAAGCTGGAAACCCACAACAAATCAATTTAGGCCTGCAAATGATTAGCTCGTAATCAGCGTTCAGAAGAAAAAGCAGCTGGAGGGATTCAGAGGACCTGGTACTTCGCTAGGGTTGTCACGAAAAACCTTTCAGAAGCAGCACAACCCCGGGCTTCAGGGGTGGAAATTCAGCGTAAGGCCAGGTCAATTTTCTTCTCAGGAGCTGAGTAACTGAGCTAGTTACCGAAGTACTTGTGCAAAACAAGTGATCTCTTAAACATAGCTTGCCAACGGTCAGGCACGGTTCTCCCTGAACCCGTAAAGAGAGATGCTAGTGTCACTACTGCCATTGCTGCAGAGGTCACTTCCCCAAAGACGCAGCTAGAAAAAGCAGCGGAGCTGTGATTCCCCAGCCGGGACAGCGGGCCTCCAGTACCCACATCTCGGAATATCGTGCCGGACTGAATGAGTTATACGCCATAAAGCGCTTGAGAACAGCTCCGGGCGGTCAGAAACCAGGGCCAAGTACACCGCAAGCGCAAACACTGAGCATTGAACGCCAGGCTGCGAGCCCATGAACCGGCCCCGCGGGTCCCCGACCCGCCGCGCCCAACTCTGCCAGGCTGCTCCGGGGAATGACCACGCAAGCCCCACGCCGGGCCCCATAACGGGCCCACACCGCAAAGAGCCCGCCGCGCACGGCTGCTCTCACCTCCTCCTCCTCCCTCCATCGCGAGATTTCCAGCAGTTTGAAAACCGGAAGTGAGCTCTACCACCTTCCCAGAACCGGGAGAGGAACGAGGGAGAAAATAATGTTCTAAGTAAATGAACATCTCGTTGGGAAACACTATCAAGAAACAGTCAATTTTAAAACTTTAATGAATGTCAAATTTACATCTGTTCCTGGCTTTTGGGTTCTAAAGTTCCCGTCCGTGTCTTCCAACTTCCACACCCCCCCCCCACAGCTTCCTGGATGATAGAAGTTTCTGAAGGCCGTTTCTTCCAGAAGGTACTGTCTGGCGTTAAACTAGTCTCAAGTGAAAAATAGGTCTCGGGCGGCCTGCACTGCGTCTGCGCGAGCTCTTGAGCCTTCCCGCGAGAGGAAGGCGGGCTCTGGGTTCCGGCGTGGTCTCCGCCGGTTGAGGGAGAGGAACTGTTGCTGCTGCATCATGGCGTCCGTTGGGACCCTCGCCTTCGACGAATATGGCCGTCCTTTCCTCATCATCAAGGATCAGGACCGCAAGTCTCGTCTTATGGGACTTGAGGCCCTCAAGGTAACGGGCCCGGGACGCACTGGCGGTGGGATGAGGGGAGGCGGCTGAAGCCGGTGGTTCTGCGCCTGCGCAATGTCTGAGGGGTTCTGCCATGTGCTCCGGGGGAAGCTTGAGAGAGCCCCCTTTGGTCTCCAGTCCGCCACCCCGCGCCTGGGAAAAATCGACGTATAAGTCTTTAGTCTCATTTGTGGATTAGGGTGGCCCGCGGGTGCTCTTCAGAGTTGGGTGGGGCTGCTTGAATTCTCAGGCGGTGAAGGCGCGTCCTCGCTGGTTTCTCCAACCTGCAGGCATTCCGAACAGTGTTTTCGTCAGTAGGATGCAGGAGAGGTGTTCTCAGGTCACCTGGGCGGTTAGGACGCTGGCTCTTAACCTTCAGTCGGTGTCCCTGCCACGGCCTCAAAGGAAATGAGGGTCATTTTCGTCGTGGCATCCTAAAGGTTTAGCCATTTCATTTTTGAGTCCCTTTATATATGGTGTATTCCTGGGTGTGGTCACTTAAAAGTTAAAAACGTACACTTTTAAGGAAGAAAATTCAGCTGCAAGAGTGAAAAGTGGTCACCAGTAACCGTAGTACAAGGCAGTGTGTGACCGGAATCACCAGCTATGGGAGGGCGTGTATGCAGGTAAAAAGTCAGAGGCGGTCATTAGTACTTTGGGTAGAGCTTTGGCTTTTGGTCGGGGATGGAGTAGTGTTCTGGATGGGGGAGAGCTAGCTGCCAGGGAGAAGGAAAGCAAGAGCAGGAGAACGCCTGGCACCTTGGAGGAGACAGTAATCTGGTTTTAGCATCGTCGAAGCTGCAGGGTGGAAAAGGTGGAAGTTCTTGAGCGCCTTGACATGACCATGTTATTATCCTCAGGGATGGGAGGGAGCCGTTGACAGGGATTTGAACAGAATCACAATTTAAGTAGAACTGTACCTGAGGAGGTGGTGTTTGGGATGGAATCCATGAAGTTGGTGTGTATGACTGTGTCATCAGGTCTGAGGTGTCCCTTGTCTTGAGGTTTTACTTAAATTAAGCGCTTCATTTCTGCCCCGGGCTGTTTCACTTAGGGCAGGTTACACATCCTTTGCCAACCTCCTTTCCCAGTGGGGCCAATACACCCCTGTCGGGAGACAAGAATTAAATGGGGTAACATAAGAAGTGGCCACCCAGCCTTTGACCAATGGTAGGTACTCAAACCAGTTGTGTTATGTGTTCAGTTTTGAGTTTCATGGAAAGCAGTCAGCAGAGAAAGTAATACCCAGTACATGCACCCAAAATACCAGGATAACAGAAGCCACAGGTGATTTTGCCTCTGCCACATCTTTGTAATCCTCGGTCTCTTGAGACAGGTCTTAGAGAGAAATGTGGCCCCAGAGCTAGTAAAGAACAGGACCAGGGTTCAAACCCACCTCTGTCTGACAGTGCAGCCAGTAGTCTAGAGCCTGCTCCGCGGACTTGGGGCTGATCCTGCTTTGTTGTGGGGTCTGTCCTGTACGGGGTGCTTAATAGCACCCTGGCCTCCACCCTCTGTGGTCCCCTCCCTGATTGTGACAACTCAGGGGTGTCTCTAGGCATTGCCAAACGTCTCCTGGGGGCACATTCGCCCCTGGTTAAGAACCACCTGCCTGTGGTCATTATTCTTTAAATATTTCATTGTGCAGACCTATCAGTCAAAGACGTATTTTAAGAATAACCAGTATTTTTACAAACTAGTGAACTTTGTGTCTTGTTAACCTGTGAGCTCGGGTCGCAAGGGAAGGCCTCACAGAACATTGCATTAAACTGCTTTGTAAACTGGTCAGGATTTAATGAGCGGAGGCCTTCAGTGCATCAAGACTTCGGGGGTCAGAGGGCATGTTGGGGAGCAGGCCTTAGCTGCCCTCACTGGAACAGAGCGAGGTCTGACTTTGAAGAACACCTGGAGCTTACAGACTTGAGAGTCGGAGTCCTGGCGACTCGTTTAAGGGTGGGGACTGAGGAAAGCAGGTTTGGGAAAATGGATGACCGCTGGGTGGGGGGTGAACCTGAAGGGTCGGTGATGAGAGACCCTGGAAATCTGCATTGTGTGGTGGGTTAGAGTTAGGTTGGTGAGGGCAGGAGCAGAAAGACAGGAAACAAGGTATTTGGAGGGAATATGAGTGTAATTTATGGAAAGGAAAAAGGATGCATTCGGGCTTCTGTTATTTTCAGCATTGACCCCCTTGGTGGGCAGTTCTTGGTTGTGGGTTGTGTACTGACTGGACCTTTGGGGAGAGGAGTGTATTGATCCATGGCGTGACAGTTCAGGGTGTTGTGTGTAGACAGCTGGACTCCTCCCATGGAGTTAGCTTTGTACAGTGGTCCTGCACGGCGTCTCGGGTCAGACTTGTCCCTGCTCTTGGCTGTAAAATGGGCCCGGAGAACCTGCCTCGTTAGATGTGTTGAGGGTTATAGAGAGAACACAGAGCACTTGGTTCTGTTCTTTTACACAAGAATTGTCTTCTCTGACCCTAGGAGTTGTGCAGTTTTCACAGGTAGATGTGTCCCTGTTTGCTGCTTTTTCTAGAGAATAGAAGCTATGTCATAAGTGAGTTTTACAGCGATATGTTCTTAAAATTATGTCTAACTTGAATATTGGCTTTTTTTGTTTCATTTAGTCTCATATAATGGCAGCAAAGGCTGTAGCAAATACAATGAAAACGTCACTTGGACCAAATGGTAAGAGACAACATTCTGTGTTTTTTAAAGTAGTCAATTCAATCTGTTTACAGAAAGTTAGGAGACAGAGGGGGGCATCCTCCCCCTAATATGGTCAGATGTTTAGGATATATCCCAGACCTTCAACACAGTTAAAGTCATAATGCTACATCCAAATTTAGGTCATATGTTTTTTTCCACTTGACATTTCATTAGCATTTTCCAAATGGTAGCTGTTGTCTTTTGCAACATTATATTTTGTGATATTACATTTATTGATGCTCCATAGTTTTTTTTTTTTTTTTTTTTTTGCAATTTCTCTGGTTTTAGCCATCATTAAATTGTTCCAATGTCTTGCTTAAATTAGCCAGTCTAAAAAGGTCTTCATGGAGATATTCCTTCATGTATGTTGAATTATTTGTGATAAGCTGCTCGAAAGGTACTGGGTCAAGAAGTAAGGGTAACTGTTTTATAGGTTTAGTGTAGGTTCTTTCTTTTCCCCTCAGTCATTTTAAACACGATTGTCTCTTAGGGCTTGATAAGATGATGGTGGATAAAGATGGTGACGTGACTGTGACCAATGATGGCGCCACCATCTTAAGCATGATGGATGTTGACCACCAGATCGCCAAGCTGATGGTTGAACTGTCCAAATCACAGGATGATGAGATTGGAGATGGAACCACAGGAGTGGTTGGTAAGAAAAAGCAAAATATCCTGTCTCATTTGAGAAGAGTTATTTAATATTAAGGGCTTTCTTGGTGGCTCAGACATTAAAGAATCCACCTGCAGTCCAGGAGACCCAGCTTTGATCCTTGGATGGGGAAGATCCCCTGAGAAAGGGAATGGCTACCCACTCCAGTATTCGTGCCTGGAGAATTCCATGGGCAGAGGAGCGTGATGGGCTATAGTCTGTGGGGTCGCAAAGAGTGTTACAGGCCTACCATGCTTGCTGAGTGTTTATCCTGAATCACATCATAGGGAGACAGTCCGACAAGTCCATGTGGAAGGACATGATACGAGACAAATGGCCCAGGCTCTTCAAAAGTGTCAATGTAAAAGAACAGGAAGGGAGTGGGGAGTAGAGTAAGGCAGCTCATCTAGATTCCGGGAGCTCAAGAGAAGTGACAGCAGCTCTAACATGTAAAACCTGGTTGGGTGCCAGATTTCTTTTTCCAAGCTCTGAAGGATGTTTGGGACACATGGGGTCATTTGTGGGTCATGTATTAGTATCTTACCAACGTCAAGATTTCCTGAGTGTGACAGTTACGTTACAACGATGCAGGAGACTGTGCCTATCCTTAGGAGCTGAGTGTTAAAATATTCAGGAGTGACACGTCTGATTTCTGCAACTAATTTTCAAATCATTGAACAGAAAAAGCATGGGTATGAAAAGAAAACAAATGCAACAAGGTATTATTAATAAGTAAATTGTATTCATTATACTACTCGACATTTTTTTGAATGTTTGAAATTTTAAGTTTGGAAGGATTAATGAGATGAATATCCTCAGTGTTACTTTTTCTGCATTTGAAATTTGAATTTATTCAGCAAGTATTTTATACATTTGTTGGGAAGCAAGCACTGTTCTGGATGTACTTGGAGTGCAGCAATATTCAATCTTACTTTTGTGATGCTAAAGTGAGAGGAGAAGGCAACAGGTCGGGGAAGGATAGTAAACAAATTTTATTACTGTAGGATGCCAGCATGAATTTCACTGAATAGAAATCCTTGGCCTAGGAAACAGGAAGGTTTTTTCCCTTATAAAAATGGTTTGTATATTACGTTCTTTGCATC